GCAGATGATACCCCAAAATTAGACTAACTGAAACTCCTATGTGCTTGAAGAAAGCAGACCAAACCTGTGATGTAAACTGGGGACCCCTGCCAGACAGGATATCCTTTGGTATCCCAAAGTACCGGAAGACTTGGTTAACTAATGTTTTGGCTGTTGGAAATGTAGTAAGTAAAGAAGCAAATGGAATGAAACGTACACTGTGAGAAAACCTATCTACAATAGTAAGAATAGTAGTGAATCCTTGTGATTCTAGCAGGTCAGTGATAAAGACACTGGCTATGTGTGACCAGGCTCTAGCAGGCACAGGCAAGGGCATGAGTTTACTGGCAGTGTAAGCATGTTGAACAGGTGGACACAAATTTATAAATGTCCACGTTCATGGATTCCCACCAGTAGCAATTCGATAATGCTGCTTAGTTCTGGTCTCACCTGGATGACCCAAGATGAGTGGGGAATGGGCCCAAGTTACAAGTCTATCCCTACACTGTTCAGGGATTAGAAGAAATGCTAACATGACGGAAAGATATTCTCTCCTACCTCCTTATCTTGATAGATTATAGATACAGTGTCTGCTTTTGTGTTGTGCAATCTGGGTTGAAAAGAAACACTGAATCTGAATCTAGAAAAGAATAATGACCAGTGTGCTTGTTGAGGGGTGAGATGTTTAGCTGTATGCAGGTACTCTAGATTCTTGGGATCTGTAAGCACAACGAAAGGGTGATTAGCACCCTCTAACCAATGTCTCCATTCTTCAAGAGCCAATTATTGGCCAAGAGCTCACAATCCCCTACTCTGTAATTACGTTCCATGGGTGTGAGTTTGTACAAGTAAAAAGAAATGGGGAGTAACTTAGGGTGATTTGCGGTACGTTGAGATAAGACCACTCCTATCCCAGTTTTGGAAGCATCCACGAAAGGCTCAGAAGGATCAGGTTGTTTTAATACTGGTGCAGAGGTAAACATCTCTTTTAGTGTCTCAAAAGCACTCTCGGCCTGTGGAAGCCAAGCCAGTTTTCTACGGGAACCTTTCAGACGGGCAGTGACAGGTGCAGCAATGCAGCTGAAGTTTCTAATAAAGTGTCGGTAAAGGCTGACAAATCCTAAAAAGTGTTTTTCTTTGACCAAAGCTAGCTTGGGCCAGTTCACACAGTGTCAACCTTATGGTCATCCAACATGACACCACTGGGGTTAATGACATAACCCAAAAAGGCTACAGACTGCAAATGAAATTCACACATCTTTCACTGTATCTTTCAGTAGCTCTATTGAAAGAAGCAATACCTCACAATGAGCTAGACTAAAGCCCGGGCTTATATACTGACTAAACAGAGGTAGGTGTTAAGTGCAAAAAAAGTGTGGGAAGGTGTTAAGTGTGAAAACACACCAGATTTGAAGGCTCAGTAAAACTGATGAGACAGTCTACTTGCACAAGCTCTATTTAGCACAACTACTGTAAAACTTCTGGAAAGGCTCAGGTTTGAACAGAAGCCAATATATGACTATAGGAAAACAGTGGTGGTTTGATAACATCCAGTAAATCCGAAAGATTATGCAGGTCGGTCCTACTTGTGTTAAGTGTCTTTAATAAGTTTACAATTATACATTAACAATACATGCACCCACAATGTAAGTGTTGTGATGTATTCACTGTTACAGATGGATTACAGTGTTGTTTTTATAGGACATAATTTATAGGTCTTGAGAGTGAAAAACATTGCCATGAAGCTATAAACGCCATGCCTGTCTGCATTTCACACTGTATGACACTTCATAATGTGCCAACCAGCCCCAGAGTCATAGAACTGGACAAAATTTGAACAGTCCAGTGTCTGAGCATTCTTGTGTTCATATGTGTGGGTTTGTACAGTAGTCCCAAAGAGTATTTGGACATTTTTGACTTATTTGGAATCTGTTTATTGTCTTAGAAGGCAAACTATTGAACTTTTCTTTTAAATACAACATTCCAAGACATTTTTATAATGCAGATGATTCAGATCATTACCCTTCTGATCCCACTTTCCAGTTTGCCTTTAGAGTGAGTTATTTGCAGAATTCTGCAGGTTTGCATTAGAAATGCCTTTGTGCGCTTCTGAGTTCCTCTTCTTTAACACATCACACTGGGGTCCAAACATCTGAAACCACATTAAAAATCAGGAATGTTTTTCATTTACTTCATGAATTTTGAGTTTCAAATTTAAAACAAAGAAAAGTTGTGACAAATAAAATGAAAGAGACATATTTAAGATTCTACATTTATGGTTTATTATTGAGCTTTTAAGAAAAATCAAAAGAAAATAAACACCTTAGAGAGCCCAATACTCAATTAAGGTTTGCACACAATATTTGATGTGAAATACACAAATAAAAGTGCTCTGTAAAATGTTTGATTGTAGTTACTGCTTAATAAAGTATTAATAATTATCAATAATTAAGTTAATAAGCAGTCATTGAACTGATAGGTTACTGGATTCTGGCTTTTTAAGGTTTAATAAAGGCATAATAATAGACATGTAAAATGATGTGCAAAAGTTTATGATGTATAATAAAGAAAACTTCCCTGAAAAAAGTGCTTCATTTAATCTAATTAACAATTTATTTTTTAATAATGTAGTAAGTGGTTTGTTAATTAGCATCTACTGGCTTGAAAAGGCTTAAAGGAGCATTTTAATGTCTCCTACACTGAAGTGTTACTGAAACTACAGCTTTAATAAATGAACTCTGTTATCAGGTCTCTCAGTGAGAGTTCAGGGCTCAAGGGAATGCAGGTGAAAAGTGCCAGAGAGTACAAAGTTTATGACATTACAGGTCATAAGATGTGCGTGTGTTTGTGTAAAAGTGAATTAGGTACAGGGTGTTCAGGGTGTGTTATGTGGAGCTGGTATAGTGTGTAAAATGTATTTATTTTCAAATTTACTAGATCAAAACACTCAATGTATATTTGTTTGTATGTATGTATGTTCATACATACATACAAACATACATATAAATTGGGGGCAGTCATGGGCTGGAGGTTAGGGAACCAGCCTTGTGACCGGAAGGTCAACGCTTCAATCCCCTGATCCGACAGTATGTGACTGAAGTGTCCCTGAGCAAGGCACCTAACCCCCAACCGCTCCCCGGGTGCCACGGATAGGGCTGCCCACTGCTCCAGGCAAGTGTGCTCGCCACCCCCTAGTGTGTGTTCACTAGTGTGTATGTGGTGTTTCCCATCTGCATAGAGGGTTAAAATGTGGAGGTGAAATTTCCCCATTGTGAGACTAATAAGGGTCACTTCATTTTTACTTTTAATTTTTAAATATTCATCTGTTTTTAGCATATTTGTCACACTTAAATGTTAAACTACCTTTAATATTAGACAAAGATAACATAACTAAACACAAAACGCTATTTTTCAAATGATGATTTTATTTAATGAAGGAAGAATGCTGTTCAGCTCTGCATTGTCCCGATGCAAAAAAGGAATTGCTCCGTTAGCTACTCAATCAACAAGTTACCCAAATTCTATTGATTATTGAAGAGTTGTCAATCTATCTGCCCGCCTGCCTGCCTGCCTATCTACTTACCCATACATGTGTTTTTCTGTCTGTATGGCAAAATACATCAAAGAACACATTATTATTAAATACTCATAACAACTGTGTTAACAATTAACAACACGTGTAACAGCACTGTAACTGGTACTATTGAATTCACTGTTAAAGATGAATTACAGTACTAGTCAGGCCAAAACTTCATAGTAAAGCACTTATTTAGTAGCTCAGCAGATTTCTAAAAGCAAGACAGAGCACCTGCTCTCACCAAATAAATATGATGGTACATATTTGCCTAATGCGCTTAATATTTTTTATCTGGATTATTTTTTTAAAAGAATAGATTTGTGGGGGTCCAAGGATTTATTTTCAAACTGGGAGGGGTCCCTGGCTGTTTAAAGTTTGAGAAAACCTAGGTTACCTCACCTCCTCTGGAATCAAATCAGTCGAACATTTCCACAGTCCTCCACTGGAGGGGGCTGTTGTACTTTCAGTCCAGATCCAGAGGCAGGTTACCTGGACCAGCCTAAGATTTGAGTATGTAAATTCAGGTGTACAGAAATAAGCGAGTTTAATATGAATAAGATACATAAAACTGGTCTGAGATCAACTTAAATGTGCCTGCTAGCCATTTTTAAAAAAACCTAATTTATATCTAACAACTTTCTCTGTAGGAAAACCTAAAGCATTTTAAATTGGAAGGATCCATGAATTAATATTAATAAAACGGACTAATAAGTAACAATATGTTGTTAGATAGTGTTTTGTAGGTTTTGAGTGTTCAACTCAGACTAGACTTTTGCCTGGATTTGTCTGCACAGTTTATCTTCACAGCTTCATGGTGTTTTTAACTTTTTGACCATGAAAATTGGTGATTTATGAAAACTGCTGATTTTAAATCCATCTGATTTTTTTAAGTTTTAAAAAAAAATGATTGCAAAAAAGGAGAGCAGCTCAGAACATGTACCAAAAATGAATCATTGTTCACCTCCAAAGGATTTAAAGAACCTCCAGGTCTCTGACCTCCTAAGAGGTAAGGTATAAACATCTCACTAGTAACGCCCATCGTGACGCAATCCTATAGAAATGGTGTCTCTGTCTCTCTCTCTCTCCTCTCTCTCTCTCTCTCTCTCTCTCCATATAGTCCACATTTTTGCTCCAACTTAACTTGCAATGCATAGTAATAAAGCAAAAATATGGACTGTCTAGGGAGCTCTGAGAACCAGTATGAGAACCACTGTTCTAGACTGTAAGAGAACTCTGTTGTCAGTCTCTGTATGCAGAGAGTTCCTGATGTTGCAACAGTTGCAAATGTTTTCTTTGCTCCTGAACTTTGTCTGCAGTGCTTTAAAAAACTGGAAGGTCTCTGACCTCCTAACAGGTAAGATTATGTCATCTATTTTCTGGTATAAACATCTCACTAGTAACGCCCATCATGACGCAATCCTATAGAAATGGTGGTCTCTCTCTCTCTCTCTCTCTCTCCTCCCTGAACTCCTGGTTAAAAGGATTGAGCAACTGAGCTCTCCTGCACTTCTCTCAGAATGGAGTCTGTGCTGAAATATCTGGACTGGACGTCAGCGGGCTTGGCCCTGCTGGGTGGTCTGCTCTCTCTGCTTCTCCTGGAGATCTTCAGGTTGAACTCCTCCAGGAGCCGAAGCCCCCCTGGACCCAAACCACTGCCCTTTGTGGGTAACCTGCCCCAGCTCTCAAAGGATCGAATGGCCTTCATCAGATCGGTCAGTTCCCTGGTGATGTGGTATATTCACTTTTTCCTCTTTTTGATATGCATAATTGATTTGCAATTTAATATAGCTTTGAAAATGCAAAAAAAAGGTCCTTGGAGAAAACTGCTGTTGTGTCTACCAGAAGTACAGTGCTAAGCCTTCTTAGTCTGCATTCTGCATTTAGGTTGTGAAATGCAAACTTTACAAGTGCAAAGGTCACCAAAGTATACGCAACCAAATGCTACCTTTTCTCTGCTATCTATGCTGACATGCTCAATGTGGCTCCTTAGGCCTGTTACAAGACATCTACAAGAAACCATGTAACTGTCTCTCCATATAACTGTGACAGTGAAGGGGACTTGAAGAGGGCTGCATCTAACCTTGTCTTTTCAGTTATCTGATTAGTTTAAAGCAAATAGCTAAGTTGTACCTGAAGCCAGTGGTATGTTTATGGCTGATGTACAGGACCTAGGCTCACAGCCTTTCTTTTCCCAGAAGGGAGGGTTTGGAGAAATTGATCCATGGCCAGTTTCTCTATGATTGCCCCTGGAAGTAGCCATCTGACACTCTCAGGAACCTCTTTATCTGCTTCCTTAGAGGCACCTCTGTTCAGAATCGTAAGTGGTGGTACATCACAAAAGTCATGTTTGGAGTCTGGCCACTTTGGGTTACGATCTCAGTTGGTTATATTTTATGACCTGGTCTACCTGAATGGTGAAGCTATAGCTTACTGCAGTTCACTGGTCAGGTGTGGGGCTAAGATGGGCACTGATTATTCCTTTTCATCTACAGTATATATCCAAAAGAAACTGTAGTCACAGTGCAATGAGCACTAGCTAGTATTTAGCTCAATAGAAAATAATTATTTTCCTTAATTTTTCAGATTGATAAAATTCAGTACACAGAAGCGTGTACACATATAAATGTGGATAACCATTTTGAGTGTAACTACCAAGATTTAGTTAGTTTAGCAATACAATACTGATTTGGAAGTCCAGTCATAGTATTCTTCCGTTGCATAACCTTGTTACAGATCTTTCTTGATAGTAGTTTGTGCTCTGATTCAGGATCTCAACAGCTTAACACACTCATTCAGCTAAACTCCTGATGGTCCTGATTTTTTTTTTTTAATCTCTGTTGCTTTTGACACAGTCAGCCACAAGATTCTCCAAACATTGCAACCACCACCTTTGCACATTGGAATCAGTGCCTTTGCATGGAATTGGTTTGAGTGTGATCCCTGAAGGGATGTTGTTATTAGGTAACACTGACGGGGTCCACATCCACTATATGCACACTCTTCATGTGTGTTTAACAAAGCTGTGTGCTGGGTCCTCTTCTCTTTTCTCTTTACACTTAATACTTTACCGATGTAACATCTTGTTAACAGCATTTGATACCACCGTTATGCAGATGACTCAGAACTAATTCTTTCCACCTCCAATCATTCATTGCAGTTCACCATCCAGCAAGGAGCTGCTATACATCCCTGGGTCCTGTGATCTTGCCATGTCCTTTAAACATTTATTGGTCATTCCATCTGAAGATGCACAAAGCCTTGGTGTCACTGTAGATGGCCAGTTATGATTCTTTGCTCATATTGCAAAGCTGCCTCAGTCATACAGGTTTCTCCTCTAAAACATTTGGAGGTTTCTACACTTTCTCTCTACATAGGCCCTCAGGTGCTTGTTCAATGTCTTATCCTCTCAAGGCTTGAATATCAAGCCAAAATGAGCCTGCCCCTCAATACCTGATTTTAAAAGTCCATACCGTGTACTGTTTGAGCTTGAAATATGGCTTGGCTTGTCCCATTATATTTAAAGATGCTTGGAGGACAAGCTTCAAGACCAGCCACCCATGTGGTGGAATGAATTTCTGCTGGCTTTCCCTCACTGTCTCTAAATGCTGAAAGAAGACCTCTCTCTATGTAAAGCATGTAAACGACCATCTATCTGAACTTCTTAAAATTTGCAGTGGAAATGTCTCATTTCTATATATGTATCTTTGTCTAGGTAACAGTTCTCATTTCCAACAGTAATTTAGTTCAAGGGTGTTTTTGGACTCCTATATTTCACTATCTAAGGAAACATTCTGTGAGTTGCTAAATGCTGGTAAATGCCATAAATGTACATTTGAAAGTCAAAACTGTGATGAATTGATTTAGATTGGTTAGAACAGAGAAAGCTGCTTAATTGTGGAAAGACTAGTTCACTGAAAATACATCTGAAACCAAATGTGGAAACTGCTGCATCAGCACATACACTTGTCTATCCCAAAGTTGTAAGTAGTGTAAACATTTCCACCCCTCCAGTTGCCGAAATATGGTGAGATGTGCTCCATATACCTGAGCAAGAAGCCAACGATCGTACTGAACAACATGCAGCTTGCAAAGGAAGCTTTTGTTCAGAATGGGACCGTGTTTTCTGGGAGGCCTCTTCCACCTTTAGCACAGTGGATCAACAAAGGCTATGGTTAGTGTGGCATGACTTTGATTTACTTTTACTGCTACTTCATTTTTTGAAAGAAATGGGGAACATGTTAGTGTGCTTGTCTTTCTCCAGGGAAAGTTACACCTTCCTATAACTTTTCTGAACCCTTACTGCTTTCTTTTTCTCTCCCTTTACCTGTCTCTGCCTTTCTCAGGTATCATCATGGCCAATTATGGTCACTCTTGGAGGCAGCAGCGCCGCTTTGCTCTGCACACTCTGCGTGACTTTGGTCTGGGAAGGAAAACTGTGGAGGAGCGTGTGGCTGAGGAGGCACATTACCTCATCAAGGAGATGCTCAAACAAGAAGGTAGGTGATGAATAGCTGTATATGCCTTCTTAGTGCAGTTCTGTGGTCAGGTTATCTTTGTCTGATGTATAAATACAATGTTACAATGTCAGGCAGCATTAATTAGAATTAACATATCATATTGTCTGTCATTTGAGATTAGTATTTGTTTCATAGTCAGTAGTTTGTTTCAGAGTAAATTACTGCATGATGAGAGTTTGAATGAATATTTGTTCAAATCAACATTGACAAGTTCATGTTTACTGAGCCCAGTTTTGCCCATCAGACGACTAATACTGAATCTCATGAATATTTAATAAGTCTATAATAATAATAATAATAATAAAATATATAAGTCCTGCTAATAGTAAGACAAGAAGCAATTTTTCAGCTAATAGGTACATAAGTGTTTGATATTGATGATATTTCACAAAAAATCATGTTGGTAGTGTTATGTTTTTGTGCTATTTCCCTCCTCAAACACATTATTCTGCAATTCTTCTCGAAGGAAAACCTTTTTATCCCATCCATCAATTTATGAATGCAGTTTCCAATATAATCTGCTCCATCATCTTTGGAGACCGCTTCGAGTACGACGACAAGCGCTTTGCTAAGCTGCTAGAAATTCTGAATGAAAACGTTCGGTTTGCTGGATCATCTGTGGCTCAGGTAATTACCAGGAACTTTCCAGGTGATGTCATTTTCACAGATCATGTAGAAAAAGCACCAGAGCATGAAACAATATTATTCCAGGTGCTTTTCCTGGTTTCCTGGTATATACCTACAAAGAAATTATACAATGACAAGAAATCCCTGTCATGATGTGTTTGAAGTGCTTACATTAAACAAACTGCAAAATTAATTGAAGCAGTGGAACATGAAAGGTATCATTTATTTATTTTGTTTTTCTTTAGATTTTCAACTTGGTCCCCATTATAAAATACTTTCCAGGGCCGCAACAGAAGATGCGGCGTAATGGCGAAGCCTTACAAAAATTTATCCTTGAAATTGTGGAGGAGCACAAGAAGACTCTGGACCCAGACAACCCCCGGGACTTCACTGATGCCTACTTAATTGAGATGACAAAGGTGAGTGGTCAAACTTCAGGAGATGCTCTTTGTTTTGAAAGCAGTGTAGAAAATGAAGGTTCACTTACTGCTGCACACTTTACAGTTCTCCAGCATACCTATTTTGACCAATAGTTATCTGTGCACTGAAATAACTAGTGTGGTCAAATAATAAAAAATGAATCACAAAAAAAAATAAAAATAAAAAATAAATGACTGGTGTGGATTATTTTCTACATTGATCATTTTCAAGTTGACAATGTGGAGACAGTGGAGTTAAATTTATACTAAATCAATCATTTGAGCAGCCTTCAGTATCATTTGATTGCATCTATGTAGCAGAATTTAAACTTTTCTTGTTTTGAGCAGCAAGAGTCAAAGGAGGACACCACATTCCATGTGGAAAACATGATGAGGACAATCTTTGACCTGTTCATAGCTGGGACAGAAACTACAGCGAATACCCTCAGATGGGGGATCATTTATATGATGGAACACCCTGACGTGCAAGGTACTATTGTTGGGGATCAATACCATTGAACTGATTTCTTTGTACACTAGGTGTGGTGTAAGGAATGGTATTCCTTTTTTTACTTTATGTTTTCACTTGATATTTTTGTAATGACCCAATTGAAACACTGCATATCATATAATTTTTGTGTCCTCTGTGCTTTTTCCCACGCTTGCGTCTGGTTAACCACATCAGAGCGCTGTCATGAAGAGATCGTTCGAGTGCTGGGTTTTGACCGCTCTCCATGCATGAATGACCGAGCACAGCTACCATACACTTGCGCCACTGTTTATGAAATCCAGCGCTATGCCAGCATTGTTCCTCTTGGTGTGTTGCACCAAACCACAGAACCAGCACTGCTACGAGGATACCACCTGCCTATGGTAATGATGGGATAGAGGCATTATAGATTAAGTACATGATGGGTTAAATGGATGGACGTTTGAATGTATGAAAGTCTGAATGTGATGGGAGGATGAATCTTTGGAAGTATGAATGGATGTGTAACCACAGATTAGGGTTAATAAACAAGATGGCTTGAAAACAAGATGAAATTACAAATGCAAAATAGAGAAATTAATACTAATGCATTAAACAAACACTTAAGTTTTCAGATTATTTGAGCCAGACTTAATGAAATGTCATCAAACAACTTTTATCATATCTTGCTGTCTTGCATATTTCACAAATTGCAGAGCAAATTACATCTATTTATACTGGTCTCTTTTCTCTTTATTATGATTAAAAAAACAAAAATGAAAACTTTGAGTGCGTTTCCACTGTTGAAGTCATTTAATTGACATTAATGCACGTTTGTCATTTATTTGTTTCTCTTTCCCATGGCAGGGATCTACAATCATGGTCAACTTAATGGCCATCATGACTGACAAAGAGCACTGGAAGTATCCAGACACGTTCAATCCAGAGAACTTTCTGGATGAAAAAGGACAGTTCTGCAAAAATGATGCCTTTCTGCCATTTTCTCTGGGTGAGTCTGTGCAACAGAGCTTCATGAAAAATGTATTGAGATTTATTTGAGCATCAGCACAGGGGACAGCCAGAGTAGCACTCGTTTTCAGACTGAGAGCTATATGATGCAGACCATCCAACACCGAAAATGTAACTACTCATGATGTAATTGCTGTAAGAGATGAATTACAGTGGTTTTTTTTACAGTGTTGAACTTGCAGCTCTTGAGAGTGAAAAACATTGTGATGAAGCTATAAACACTAGCAAATGATTCAGATCATTACCCTTCCGACCCACTTTCCAGTTTGCCTTTAGAGCAATTTCTTTGCAGATGTCACGCATCTCTCTGGCCTCGATTCACACAAGGACTGCATTTCCCAGAACTCCTTGAGAGATAATGTAGATCCTTTAGAACTACTGAGCATTTCCATTGTGTTTTTGCTTGCCCTTTTGGTTTGTTTGACTCTCTTCTGGATCTCTTTTTGCCTTCTTGCTATTTTGGATCTGACCCACACCAATTCCTTTTGTATTAAAGCCTCTTCTCTTGGATTTTAATGTGAGCGTCTGACTGGGTCTGTCACGTTACAGAATACCTTGCCATCGATGCAGACACCTGATCATGAAGCTCTCCAGAAGGCCGTTACCAATCAGGGTCATATGCTCGGCTAACATGTTACTTACTCTCTAAAAACATTAACTCAACAACAGACAGAACAGCAAATGCAACGCATACAGCTGGTCACCAATGTGAAAGAGCTCACTTCACAACTCCAAGCTCTAGGTATGTCAATTAAGAGGGATAATGTGGCTAATGTGTCCACGCCTGTCAAGATATCTAATTCGTTTTTTTCCGGTTAGCAAGCCTGACAGGTTTGACGGTAATTCAGAGAAGTGCCATGGTTTTCTTCTCCAGTGTGCCATATTCTTTAGTAATTCTCCTCCTAGCTCTGATCAAGCTAAAATTTCTTTCCTAATATCTCAACTGATGGATGGAATGAACCAGCGTTCATAGTGATGTTTCGACAAGGACTAAACCCAGAAATTCTCACAGAGCAAGCTTGTAGGGATGATGATTTAAAACTAGATCGACTTATCTCTCTCACTATCTGGATTGATCAACTTATTCGTGATCGATGACATCCAGGAAACAAGAGAGGAATTAATCCACCAGCCATGCTACCTCAGGAGATTCAAGAGCCAGAAAAAACAGTGCAATGTGAGTCATCCCGTTTGTCGGCCAAGGAGAGACTTTGTTGGTTGAAAGAAAGGCTTTGCTTCTACTGTGGAGATGCTGGTCATGTTCTACGAGACTGTAGTGTCCCGTCCGCACAGATTTAAGGCACCGACCCCTGGAAATATGGTGAGTATTCACACAAAGGGGTTGGTTTCAAAGCCTTTGCTCTTGCCCGTGACTATCTACTGCCAAAATCTCTCCTTTGTCATTCCAGCCCTTTATCGATTCCAGAGCTGAGAAAATTTGTTCATGCAAGACTGGTAGAGCAGCTAAAGATTGCTGTGACGCCTTTGAAGGTTCCCTTATGTATTGCTGTAATGGTTGGAGAGCCCGTGGAACCAGGATCCATCATTCAAGAAACTGAACCTATTAGAACGTGTGCCAGTGCGCTTCACAATTAGCAAATAATCCCCATCTTTCTTGGTTCCTGACGCTCAATAAATACCTGGTCATGCCTTTTGGTTTGTCTAATGCCCCTTCTGTGTTTCAGGCATTCGTAATGATGTTCTGCAAGACGTGATTGGTCATTTTGTTATTGCCTGCATAGACGATATTCTAATTTACTCCCCTGACTTAGATACTCACATAAAACAAGTCTGTTTGGTCCTATAGAGACTTCTAACCTGTATGTAAAGGGAGAGGAATGTGAATTTCATATGCAGCCTGTGTCTTTCTTAGGTTATATAATCAGTCAGAACAGTGTCTTAATGGATGACCACAAGGTGGAAGCGGTCGTGAACTGGCCTCAACCTGCCTCAGTTAAAGAACTGCAGCGTTTCCTGGGTTTTGCTAATTTTTACTGATGCTTTATACATAATTTTAGTAGTAAAGCAGCACCCTTGACAGCCCTCTTAAAGAATGGAGGCATTGGATAGAGGGTACTAATCAACCATTCACTGTTCTGACAAATCATAAAAACCTAGAGTATTTTAGTACTGCAAAATATTAACCCCCGTCCAGCATGCTGGTCTCTGTTCTTTTCCAGGTTTAAATTCAATATTACATATCACCAGAATCTTGCAACACTAAAGCGGATGCACTTTCCAGAATTTACCAGTTTAGAAGAGATCGAGAATGAAGAAACACTAGAGAACATTCTGCCTCCTCACATTAGTATTTCTTCTATTAATTGGGAGATAGATGAGGAGATGGAAACATGGAAATACCTGTACAGTGTCCCTCAGAAAAAAAATGATGCCCTACCACAGTTTAGAGATCGACTTATTACATGGGCTCATTCTTCTTTTATTTCTTGTCATCCAGGTGAACTGGAACCCAACAACCGCTTGCTAATCTGTACTGGTGGGAGACGATTAACAGAGACATACACGCGTTTGTTTCTTCTTGTTTGGTCTGTTCACGATGTAAAACCCCCAGAATGTTGCTGGCCGGTATACTGATGCCCCTGTCCATTCCAAATAGACCCTGGTCTAACATTGCTCTGATTTGTCACTCAGGGCCTTACTATCATACTCAACATAGTGGATCGATTTTCCAGCAGCATAAGATTCGTCCCGTTTTCTGTCATCTCTACAGCTTTTCAGACCGCTGAGACTCCGGTTAATCATGTTTTCGTTTCTATGGCATACCAGAGTATTGTTTCTACTGCAGAACTACTGAGCATTTCTATTGTGTTTTTTGGTTACCCTTTTGGTTTATTGGACCCTCTTTTGGATCTTTCATTTTTGACTTTTGTCTCTGCCCTAGTGGTTATGATTGCTCTGGTTTGCCTTCTTGCTATTTTGGATTTGACCCATGCCTGTACCATGGCGACAATTCTTGGGGATTTCTTTTGTGTTAAAGCCTCTTCTCTTGGATTTTGGATTTTGTCTGACTGAGTCTGTCAGAATTCTGCAGGTTTGCATTCAAAATGCCCTTGTGCTCTTCTGAGTTAGTGATCTAATTACTGACATCTCTGAAAGACAAACATCCCCGGATTTGACATATCCACCTCTCAGAGATTACCAGAACCTTTGGCAGCAGAAAACTGAAACTGTGCTTTTTCATTAGACAGGTTCCAGTTTTATCGTTTTTGGTACCTGTTCATGATTGGTAACACCAAGACCTAATGGTACTAAAGGGGTGTTCTCCTCTGTCCTAACATTAACACTAACACTTTGCATGTGTTGATGTGTTGATGTGTGAGTTGTTGTTTTGTTTTTCATATAATCTAGTCATATTGGTTCCCATTCTAGTCAATATTTGTTTTTGAATGTTCTTTGGAATAACACTCTTAGTGCAGTCAGGCTTTTTCTACACCAAAGAGTATACTATCAGTTTGATGTTGTGATAAACGTCTTTCACTCTTTATCTGAAGCAAGTATCATTCTATCAAAAAATTTGTGAAGAAATCTAAAGAACTTAATTAAATTAAAGTGTCCAAACAATATACAGTGACCACTGTATATGTCAGCCCACAGTAACCAGCCCAAAATATTACTGGCCCACTGGGAATTCTCTGACTCTTTGATTAACCAATCCAGCATTGAGATGATTTCTGTGTATGTGTGTCCTGCAGGTCCGAGGGTGTGTCTGGGTGAGTCTCTAGCAAAGACGGAGCTCTTCATCTTCTTCACCTCTCTGCTCCAGTGCTTAAAGTTCTCATGGCCTCCTGGAGCTCCACGCCCACACATGGACGGCACTGTGGGCGTTGTTCGTTCTCCGTGCCCCTTCAATACAGTCTGCAGCAGCAGAGAGAACACTCACTGAATCAAGTTTGCCCTTTACATGTGAATTGACAACATCTCCTCAGGAGAAGTTCCTCTTCTTTAGCACATCTATTCAATCTCAATAAGAACACATTATCAAGCTCTTTCTTCACACAAGGACCAATGAGTGGTGAATGTGCAATACATGACATTCCAGCGTAATAATAGGCATAATAATTATTTTTTATTCACTTTTCCTAACAAAGGATTTATATGGTTTAAAATGAATGTTGAAAAAAAGGCCAATTCAGCACCTGAAAGCCCAATAATCACTTAAAGGTTGGGCACAAGATTTGATGAGGAAAACACAAACAAAAGCGCTCTGCAAAATGTTTAATTGCTTGTAATTACTCCTTAATAAAGGATTAATTATTAGCTGGCTAATTAGCAGTTACTGAACTGATAGGCTTAATAAAGTCATTATATTTGACACCTAAAATGATGTGCAAAAGCTTTGTATAATACATGAACAAAAATGCTTTGAAAAATACATCCTTCACTCTATTTATTGCTTAACAAAGTAGTAATAAGCAGCCAGTTACAATTAGCAGCTACTGGCCTGTTGAGTCTTAAACAGAGCATTATAATGTCCTCCTACACTGAAGTGTTACTGGAACCACAGCTTTAATAAATGAACTCTGTTATCAGGTCTGAGTTCCAGGCTGAAGGGAATGCAGGTAAAGAGTGACAAAGATTATTACATTACAGGTCACATTACTGTGTGTGTTTGTGTGTGTGTGAACATAAAAGTCAATTAGTTGCAGGATGTTCTATCTATCTATCTATCTATCTATCTATCTATCTATCTATCTATCTATCTATCTATCGTTTAATTCTGGCTCTTTCATTATCCTTTTGTTGGGGTTGTTGCACCCAGTGGCACAGGAAAGGTTGCATGTATAAAGGTAAGGCAAGGCCTGGTAAAGTAAATTAAATAATCAAGAAACTAAAGATTCAACTTTTGAAATGACATTGAGCCTTAGGAGTATTTCTGAACTAGAAACAGCCTGCAAGGAAAAATAAAAACAAAAATCCCAAAGCAAGAATAGAAAGACATTTACCTGGCTACAAAAACTAATTGGAGGCTGGAGACCAACTGGAAGGAACCCCAGATTTTCACACATGCCACATTTTATATTTTCTTCTTTTCCAATATGTTGAAATTAGCAAATACGTGTTAACTGTACATTTATATTGTGTAGACATATGTCAAATTTGTTCCATGCAGAGAATGTATTAACATCTTCACACTTAAAAAAAATAAAGAAAAATTGTGATTTGACCAGGGGTGCCCAAACTTTTATCTGGTTGAGTCTTTGTGTGACCATTCAATTTTTATCCATTATAGATACCAAAGTTCTCATACAGTTCAAATGTAGGCTGTTTCTATAATAGTTAAATCATGGTTATATCATTTTTTATGCAGCATGCATTTTTTTTTCAAGAATTATTCCATTCTTTCAGATATTTTATCCAAGCCTTTTCTCTGTTGCTCTGGGTGGGAATTGGCCATGACTAAATTGGGTAAAAAGAAAAATCTGAAATGTGTATGTCTATAGAGGTACTTACAATGCTGCTACTGCCTTGTGTAGTCTCTAGATCAAATTGTAGGATCTGTTTGCTCACTTCTGCTTAAAGATCTCACTCACCTGCAAAAAAATTGAGGACCTTCTTGCATGTACTGCCTGCTTCAGGTACCACTCTGCCTTTCTATGTTAATTTAAGTTTTACATTTTAAAATCCACTCATGGTGGAAAGATATGTGCAGATTGTTATATAGTAAAATAGTCGCTAAAGTAAACCTAATTTCTTCAGATTTACCACTTTTTACCAACTTACATAACAATTAAATCAGTTAATCATTCAGTCAATTGGTCAATCAATCAAGATGTCTTGATGACCATTTACACTGCAGAAGACAGAAAAGTCAGAAGACATGTTGGATCACTGGTCATTGTGGATTTTAATAAAATGACTATATTTGCACTGTAGACACTGTGACCCCTGGTTCCTTTCACCTCCACTGTAAAGAAATATCAACAACATCTCAACAACTGTTTTATTATAAGCAACTTTGTAAATTTGGTGGAATGAAGAATATATTTCAAGGTTAAAGAAATTCCTCAAAATCTAAAGGTTCTAAGCCACTTAAATATTTTTATTACATACCTTCAATAATTAAGCAGAAACCTTTACTTTCTAGAGTGGTGGTTTTCAGATTGCAGGTTCTTCCACATGGTTCACAATTTTTCTCTAACTTGCAATGCGAGCAGAAAATCTGGAGTGTCTTGGGAGCCCTGAGAACCAGTTTGACAACCACTGTTCTAGAGTGTAAGGGAAGAGTTAAGTTGTCAGTCCCTGTTTGCAGAGAAGTCACACAACATTCCAACAGCTGCAAATGTTTTGTTTGTTCCTGAACTTTGTCTGCAATGCTTCATTACACTGGAAGCTCTCTGACCTCCTAATAGGTAAGATTACTAGATCTGTTTTCAGGTATGAACTTCTCTCTAGTAACGCCCATCATGACGCAATTCTATAGAAATGGTGGAAGGCTGTTTCTCTCTTTCTCTCTCTCTCTCTCTCTCTCTCTCTCTCTCTCTCTCTCTCTCTCCTGGATAAAAGGTATGAGCAACTAAGCTCTCCTGCATTTCTCTCAGAATGGAGTCTGTGCTGAAATATCTGGACTGGACGTCAGTGGTCTTGGCCCTGCTGGGTGGTCTGTTCTCTCTGCTTCTGCTGGAGATCTTCAGGTTGAATTCCTCCAGGAGCCGAAGCCCCCCTGGACCCAAACCACTGCCCTTTGTGGGTAACCTGCCCCAGCTCTCAAAAGATCAATTGGCCTTCATCAGATCGGTCAGTTTCCTTTTTGTTTTTTTTGTTTTTGAGGTGGTATATTCACTGGCATACAACAAATTGACAATTCCCCCATTTAGATACTCATTTTAAGCAGAAAATACATTCATTGATTTGTAATTGAATACAGCCATGAAAATTTAAAAAAGTGTCCTAGGAGCATGTAGAAAACTGACGTTGTGTCTGCCAGAGGTAAAGTGCTGGCATAAGTTCCTTAATTTGCATTCTGCATTTTAACATGTGACACACTCTGCAGTTTCAGACTTACAAAAAGAGCTCAGGTTGTGAAATGCAAGTGCAAAGTTCACCACTGTTTATGTAACACAAATCTACCGTGTCTCTGCTGTCTATCCTGGTGAACGGAGCTCTCTGGATTCTTTTACAAGGCATCTAAAGAGGAACAATGTAACCTTCTCTCTATATCACTGTGACAGTCAAGGGGACATGAAGAGTATTGCATCTCACCTTGGCTCTTCAGTTATCTGATTAGTTAAAAGCAAATGGCTAAGTTGCATTTGAAGTCAGGGGTATGTTTATATCTGATGTGCAGGACCTTTGTTAAATTCTTGGGAAAGCACTGCTCCATCCCAACTTCTCCCAACCCTGATTCTTTAGGCTCACAACCTTTCTTTTCTCAGGAGGGAGAGTTCGGAGAAATCGATCCATGGCCATTCATTCTGAGATTGCCCCTGGAAGTATCCATCCATGACACTCAGGAACTTATTTATCTGCTTCCTCTGTTCAGAATCATCTGTGGTGGCACATCACATGAGTGATGTTTGGAGTCTGGTCACTTAAGATCTCAACTGGTTATATTTCATAGCCTTGTCCATCTGAATAGTAAAGCTACAGCTAGCTGCAGTTCACTGGTCAAGAATGGAGCTAAGATGCACACTCATTCTTCCTTTCCTTCTACAATATATATTCAAAAGCCTCATTGTTGTCACATTAAAATGAGCACTAGCTAATTACTGCCAAGATTTAGATAGTTTAGCAATACAATACTAATTTGGAAGGACAGTCATAGTATTCTTCAGTTGCATAACACTGTTACAGGTCTCTCTTGCCAGTTTGTGCTCTGATTTAGGATCTCAATAGTTCAATAAGCTGAGACTTGCCCTGTCTAGAGTGTGTACAAGCCAACCGGGAGTAACATCATTTATTGCTGTAGCCATTGAGCCACACTCAACTCTGTAAGTCTCAGATTCATGTAACATGCTAGGAAGAGGGTTCAGGGTTTATATAAAGTTAGATTATATAGATCCAAGGATCTGAAGTGTGCTGTAACACACTTAGTTCAACTTAGACACTCTTGTTTCCATAGACAGCATCCTACAGCTACTGACATCCAGTTAACCAAATATCTGGACCCCACTGGCCCCATCCAGTACAGATGTATGAAATCTTGCAGTCCGTTCCTCCTAATCACTTTCCACTCAAACAGCTTTTTCTTTTCAAGTTGTGTACCATCTGGATTCTAGACTGCCAGAGTGGTACCCATTCTAAAGGAGACCACTCAAGACAGCTCTGACATCAGCCATTATTTGTATCTCTCATTTCTTTCCTCCACCATAATCTTTAATGAGTTAAATTGATAATTAGCAAATTTATTTCTCACTCTTAACCAGCTCAAGGATCCCAGCCTGTCTGTCTTCAAACCAGTGCACTCTACAGAAACTTCTCTTGTAGCAAAGAGAAGCTCCACACAGGAAATTCAGCTTAACTCTCAGTGGTCTTGGTTCTTTGTGATCTCTGCAGCATTTAACACAGTCAGCCACAAGATTCTCCAGTCTGTTCTCACCAACATTGGAATCAGCGTCATTGCATGGAATTGGTTTGAGTCCTGTCTCGAGGGATGTTTTATTAGGTAACATTGACAAGGTCTACATCCACTACATGCAGACTCTTCATCTGTGTCCCAAAAGGTTTTGTACTGCGTCCTCTTCTCTTTTCTCCAGTTGCATCTAGGCACATCCGCCTGACATCTAATCATGGAATGCAACCCATTGTCTGAAGATGAATTCCAGCAAGGAAGGGCTTTATATCCCTGGATCCCATGATCTTCCCATCTCCTTATAGCATTAATCAGTCACTCCATCTGAAGATCAAAAATACAGAGGGTTGGTGTAATTGTAGATGGCCGGTTATCATTCTTCAGTCATGTAGGTTTCTCCTCTAAAACACCTGGAGGTTTCTACACTTTCTCTCTACATAGGCCTCTCAGATGCTTGTTCAATATCTTATCATCTTAAGTATCAAATACTAAGCCAAAAATGGACCTGCCCCTAAATAAAAATGCCCTTTTTTAAAAGTCAAAACTTAATCCATACCTAGAGCCTTTTGATCTTCAATTATGGCTTGGCTTGCCCTGCAATATTTAAAGGTGCTTGAAGGAAAAGCTTCAAGACCCTTCTCTGTCCAGGCAACCATGTGGTGGAACAAATTTTTCCTGGCTGTCCCCCGCTGTCTCTAAATGCTGAATAAAGACCTGTCTCCGTGTAAAGCATTTAAATGACCAAGTATTTGAACTTCTTAAATGCCTTCTGTTGCAGTGGAAAACCTTATTTCTGTATTGTTTATCTATTT